CCTCCCCTCCCTCCCCTCCCTCCCACCTTCTATCCCAGTCATCATAGTTTCTCAACTTACAGCCATAACAACACAAGCCAAACTAACATACGGGCTCAACCGCTCCCCCACACGCGCAGCTTTCCACACAGGCGAAATCCAATACTTCTCCTTGTTTCGGTCGAGAGGGCCCGGGAAAGTCGCGTGCGCGTATGTGGCCGTGCAGATTGTGAGGAGGATTACGAGGAGCAGGGATTGGAAGTTGAAGAGTGCGGTCTAGATAGGGTTAGAGGGGGGGTTTTGGGAGAGGGAATGGGATGGGGGAGGAAGGGAGGGGAGGAAGGATGGTTGGGGGGATAGAGGAGGGGGAGGGGGAGGGGAAGAGAGGGACTGACCATCGTGATGGATGTGGATGTGGTTGTGAAGGCGGAGTGTTTGCGTGGTGGGTTTGGATGCGTGTCAAATGGTGTGTTTTCGTCGCCCGTAGTGTCTTCGCGTATATCTCAGCGTAAATGCGCTCGTACTCAGAGAGAGTAGATAAAAGTTGCTGCCTAGTGAAAGCGCGCGCTTCAGGCCAGATTGTCGCTTTACTGTAGTCGCGTACGTTGGTTGCGACCGCGGACAAAGGCGTCTGTGCGCACTCCCGGCCGCCGCATGTGGGATCGTCATTGCAGCGCGCGCAGCGCGCTAGCTATTGTCGCTGGAACAAGCGCGACTGCGACTCGCGACTTCACCTCAACCATCCAAGAACGACTATTACGGCACCGCGGAAGCTCATCATACGGGTGTTACGTACAGGCATTACACGCGATTGTTACGGATAGCTGCGCTGAAGGGACGAGCAAAGGAAGCGCTGAGAGAGAAGAACGAGGCAGTCGAACAACGACAAAGAGCGCGAGAGACACAACACCATGACAGAGCCACGTATGCGCCTGCGGCAAAAAGGCCAGCAGTTCCCTACACAAGACTGTAAGTTCCCATACCCCAATCCATCAGCACCCCCAACGCGCACCATCCACCCCAAACCCCCAAACCCCATCACCACCACCACCATCCAACCACCCAAACTAACCCCCCTCCCCCACCCCCCAGTAGAAGCCTTCCTCCTCGCCTTCGGCGACAACGACTACCCCCTCCCGGAAACCATGCGCGTCCTCGACGAAATCATAACCGACTACATCATCGAAACCTGCCACGAAGCCGCGTCCGTCGCACACCACGCCCGGCGCGCCAAAATCAAGCTCGACGACTTCAAGTTTATGTTACGGAGGGATACGGGGAAGCTGGGCAGGGTGAGCGAGATGCTGGAGACGGATAAGGAGTTGAAGCGGAAGAGGAAGGCGTTTGATACTGATGAGGGGGCGGTGCTTGTGGAGAAGGATGGCGGTGGGGGGAATGGGGAGGGCGGTGGTGGTGGAGGAGGGGGAGGGGGTGGGGGGAAGTTGGGGAGGCCGAGGAAGAAGGTTGATGGAGATGGAGAGGGTGGGGATAAGGGAGGGGAGGAGCCGAAGAAGAAGAAAAAGAAGAAGAAGGTTGATGGGGGTGGGGACGATGCTAGTACTGTTCGGAGTGGATGAGGGCGAGGGGTTTGGTGGATGGCTGCTGCTGCAGCGATGGTACGAAGATTACAGGTCGGGACGCGCCGCAGCAAATGCGCAAAGCACACGAGCAAGTATACTGCGGCTAGGTCGACGATATGTCTTGGAAGCGATGAAGAGCCATCAACACATCATCATCGAGCGGCGAAGAACAATCGCATTACCAGCGAGCATACGGCAACCCAACAAGTAAGGGTAAGGGTTTGTGCATTACTAGGAGTATGGTCATTGCGCATTACAAGGGTTTACTGGCGTTTATCATGGATACCCACCGAGGTCTTTAGAGCTTCTACAAAACGAACGAAATATCATCGATTTCTAATACATCTTCCGGCTTGGTGATCATGTGGTCGAAGATATGCGCGTTCCCTCTAAGAAAGCATTCAAAGAGGTGGGTGTAGGTATCCAGAGTCTACCGGAAATATGTAGGGAAGGGTTACTTACACTGAGAATTATGGAAGGGACGTGGCGTTGGACGGGTGAGATCGTTGGAGTGTTGGCTGGCTGGCATGGATTCGGGAACAATGCTATGAATTGACTTCTATATTGTCTCTTTCCGTCGGGTGGAAAGGGTATGTGTGTAGACTCATTCTTTCTTTAAATGCAGAAGTAATCGCATCTTTTTCTTGAGCAACACTCCGTCCCAGTCGAAAACAGCTAGTCTTCCATTGCCACATGCATCCCTCTCGCATACATGTCACCTTTAGACTAAGTTAGCTTAGACATGGACATGCATTATTCCAGATGCGTGTGACTGCCACCTGTGATTAGTATGACATTGAGCGTTTTTTGGTCGTAGCCGAGCTCGTCCGAGTAGGTGTCTACTAAATACATATCTTCGGCACCGGGTACTTGTTAGGGCTCTGGGTCTATGTCTACATCTACGTCCATTGTTGTGTCCTCGATGATCAATGCATCTTTTACACTAAGGCTGAGCGGAGCTTGTTTGGATGATTATGGAATTAACAACCTTGGCGTTTTATCTTTTCTCAGGTCTTTTGCTTCGAGTATGATGGCGCAGTGCAAGTAAGCATTTCCCAGTGTTGAAGTGGTGAATGTAAACTTTCACCTCGTTGCGCAACTCACCTAATGCTACATACTGGTTGCTGTCACTAGGCAGCACGGAGCCTACATTGCCGTGAAGTCACCTACTTTGCATGTTTTCGGCTTGATGTAGGCCCCCCTCCTAGCGATTCGACGATTCTGCAGTCAAATGTTGATGTTGGCCGCGCCTTCCTTCAACAGGTCGCTCTCACCTCACTCACCCCCGGAAAGCGCGTTTGCTCTCACCGCAGCGTATCCACCGCCACCGACACAATGCCTTACCTTCACTTTGTTTGCAGAGCCTTCACTCACCAGCACCAACCACACCAGCTCCCAGCATGAAGCTCCACATCCTCACCCTCGCAGTGCTCGCGACACTGGCTTCAACACACGTCCTGCCTCCCAGCGACAGTGCACTCACGAACCTCACCTATGACACCTCCCTCGAAGACACACCCATACACCATGTCGCCGGTACATTCAATCCCTCCACCGTCCACACCGCCGCCGACCCCCCACCCCCCAACGCCAAATTCGACAAAGCCGTCTCCACCGGCCAAACCCTCGACTCAGCCATGAGATCCAAAGACAGTATCGCGCGATGGCTCTTCAAAGACTTCCCCCAATACGCCGAAACGTGTCAGTCACCCTTCACCGGCGACGGGCGGGCTGACCTCGCGAAATGGGGATTCGATGACAGTGACGCACTGAGCGCGACGGTAGCGAAGGAGTGTGACTTTGATGCGTATCATAAGATCAAAGCGGCGTTTGATGAGATCGGAATGGATACGAAGGCGGCGAAGGATGGGGGGCCGAACCGGTGTTTCAAGGTTAATCATCGGGATGGGCCGGCGATTAAGAGGGATGAGAAGGGGGAGTTGCCGAATGAGGCGAAGCAGTACTATGATGTTTGTGGGAGGGAATACAGAGTACACTCCACCCTCATTCCACCGCCATGAAAACCGAGGCTAACAAACACACACCTAGGCCACAGGCGCATCCTACGAATTCGCCGCCAACCCCTCCGGCCTCCTCGCCCTCATGAACATCATGTCCATGACCTACTCCGCGAAAACATACACCTGGTTCCGCACCCCTCTCCCTTCTGAACTCCCCGACATAGGCACGACACAGGATATCGGGTGGGCCATGTGGAACCGCGTCAACGCGCCTAGTCTGGCTGGGCTCAAGTACCTGCTTGTGACGCAGGTGATGAATGCGGGGAGTAGGGAGATCTTTCGGCATGCGTTGGGGCTGTTGGAGCCGCCGGAGAGTGAGTATAAGGTGTGGCCGGGGCATGAGTTTAAGATGGATGGGAAGGGGAGTAAAGGGGGATTGGCGATTCTGGGTACGTGGGCAGAGGTTGGGAAGGGTGGAGTGCGCTAACTCAACATCAGGCTCACCAGTTGGGCGATGGGCGGGCTATCTCTTACTGCAGCACAAGGACCAGCTTGGTGGTAATCGGTACATCGAGAAGGTAAGGCTGTTCAAACCGCCAGGGGCCAGTCTGCCGTACCTTCTCTTCTACGTCGCGAAGGATCCTTGGGTTGGAGAGGTTAAGCCGGTGGCTGCGAAGATGGTGAGCGGGATGAACGTCACAAATGCGTTGGAAATGGACGATGAAACCAAGAATGTTGTGAGGAGAGAGGATGCGAAGAACCTCATCAGACAGCATGTTGTCGTTGTCCGAACCTAGGATGTTGCAACGAAGAGGAGTTCGGTGAGTGTACGATGGTTGCAATGGCCTTCGAATGGATCTGAAACGAGGAAGTTGTACTATGTGCCAAAAGCTCTGAGTCCGTCACTTACACATACACCCTATTATGTCCCTCAAACAAAGTCAAAAACATCACCCTTATCCCCCACCATCCTCCCCACCCTCTTCCCCCCCACAACCCTCTCCAACTCCATCCTCTCCCACCTCGAAAAACACACCTTGACACTGGCTTCCGCGCGACTGATCTCTGCGCGCTCAATCGACTTGCCGACGAAACCCACAACCTCATCGTAGAACACCGGGTTCTCAGGTACCCCGTAAAACACCACTCTTTTCACACCCCTGATATTATAGCGATGGAAATGGTGGGCGCGGCCGGTATACAGCAACAAGCTGTGTTTCCCGTTCATGAAATGGGACCGCGCCTTGCGGACGTCGGTTGCGTCTGTGTATTCGCTGATGGATGCGTATGCGACGTCTGAATCCACAAGTGAGTTTCTGACGCGGACGAAATCTAGGTAGGAAGGTATAAACACCAACACGCCCAACCCGCCATCCGGGCTTTTCGGTAACCGACTAATACCCGGCAAGACCGAGTTCGTGAAGAATTTAAACCGCGCATCCGGGTCCGTGAGGTGAGACGGGGAGTCAAACCGCGTGAACGTCTGTTTTATGCCCCAGGAGAGGGACTCGATGAGTCCGGCTGTGTGGTCTGGTACGTATTTCAGGCGGCCGGCGTAGTTGCGCATGTGTTTGTTAAACAAGACGTTTATCTTCGGCGTCAAAAACGCACTCAGCACAATCGTCTGTCTGAACACCGGCGCATGGCCGTCTAAATACCAACTCCGCACGCGCGAAAAGTCGCAGCCATGCGCATCTTTCGGCTGGAGGTTCAAGTGCTCGAAAACGTATTCTGCGTGTTCCCAATTTTGCATTAGCGCTGCGTCGGCTTGTTCCATAATCACCATTTCGATGGACGACAGGAAATCGGAGTCGCCTTGTTTCTTTTTGGGGTCGCCGGTTTCGATGGCGCGGCGCAGGCCGAGGGTGGAGGCGAAGATGATGTCTGAGTTGTAGAAGGTGGAGTAGAATTTCAGTGTTTTCCGTGTGAGTTTTACGCCGATGCGGAATTCATTGTCGTCGTTTCCTTCAAACAGTTCGCGGAAGTCGGCGGGGCGGTCGGGTGAGAATTTTTCTTCGGGTAAGGAGAAGGAGTCGAGGAAGCGTTTTTTGTTTTCTTGTTGCTCGAAGGCGTGGAGGGAGGTTAGGGAGTCGAGGACGCGGACGCAGGCTTGTTTTGTTTCGAGCAAGAAGAGGATTTTGGGGCGCGTGAAACCTTGGTCGCGGTATTCGATGGAGGGGTCGGAGGAGTCTTTGGATGTGGATAGCTTGGCGTTGTTTTTGAGGATGCGGTCGCGGGTTGTGAGGATGTGGTTTAGGGCGTGTAGACAGGTTATGTCGCGGAGACGGCTGGCGTTTTGGACTGTTCTTGCGCCGAAGAGTAGGTCTTGGTAGCCGAAGATTGAGGGTGCGATGGCTTGTTCTAGCTCATCGAACGCGCCGACCTTTTTCTGTGCGTTGTCTACAAGTCGCGCTTTCAACTGGACGTCGCGTACGCTTCTTAGCTTCCTGTTCGGCTTGAACTCGTCGCTGGGAACCTGGAGTATGCCGACGCCCTTTCCGGACGCTCGATCCAGCTTCTGTGATGTCCACTGGTTGGCTGCTATCCGCTTGAGTCGCGTGGCTAGTTCGGTCTCGTCGGGGTTCGCAAAGTGCTTCTGGTAGGCCTGCTCGAGCTCTTGCTCTTCCTGGTCTTCATCGTCGACGTCTTCATCATTATCAACCTCTGCCTGCTCGTCCTCCGCCTCGTCGCCTTCCAGTGTGGTAGATTCAGCGTCGTCGTCCAATTCGACCTCCTGCTCCGGTTCGTCGTGCTCCAGCTTCCGCCTCTTCTTGCGATGCTCTTCCGAACCAGTATTGCGCGACGAGAAAGACTGCAGCAGAGTCGCATAGGCGTTTGAGATGGGTTGCGCTTCTTCTTCCTCTTCGTCCGAGACATCGTCTTCTGATACGTCGGATTCGCTCTCGTCGGATGGAGTGGGTTCGCGCATGGGTATGTTTCTGGTACTGTTAGGATTGGACTAATGCGCCCGCGACCAATATCCGTACTCACGAATCTTCGACATCGTCTCGTGTTCTCGCTGCGGCAAATCCGCCTCTGCTTCCACCTCTTCCACGACCTCGCATGCCGCCTCTGCCCCTTCCCATTCCGCCGCCTCTGCCGCCTCTACTGCCGCCCCTTGCTCCTCCACGAGATCCGCCTCGTCCTCTCATTGGCGCCATGTCGGTTGCCCGGTGTATCTAGGTATGCGCCGATGTGAAGGGAGCTTGATGCAAGGTGCGGGTCTTTTCGCAATGAGTAGTGAAGGTGGATAGAAGTTGCGACAACCCCTTGCGCAGGGAGAGAAGTGAAGTATATGGATGTGGGAGGTAGAATCGTCCCGTTGAGATACTTCGTAGGTTAACTCCGCGCCGCGAAAAAGTTCAGATGGTCCGTGCAAGCGAACGCACCCTGCCCAGATTTCGTGAAGAATATCGCTGCGTGCCCCACCAACCACATTTGACGTCTCCGAGCGCCTCACCACCACGCCCACCAAACAAGAACCTATCGCCATCACAACCGCCACCATGGCCGAGAACGACTCCTTCCTGCATCTGGCGCGCCCGCTCGGCCCCGCGTCCATGGGCACCCAGCCGTCGACTGCCCCGCTGAACGTCGCCATCCAGCCCCAGGTATGCGACAAGCCACGGTCGAGGCTGCCTGCTCTACTCTCTGACACCATCTGCTAGGCCGTCTTCTCCATCCTCGACCACTCGCTCCGCCGCCCCGCCGAGCAAGAGCGCGTCATCGGCACCCTCCTCGGCACCCGCAGCGAAGACGGCACCGAGATCGAGATCCGCAACTGCTATGCCGTCCCCCACACCGAGACGCAAGAGCAGGTCGAGGTCGACATGGACTACCAGAAGCAGATGCTCGCCCTGCACCTGCGCGCCAACCCCCGCGAGGTCCTCGTCGGCTGGTACGCCACCAGCAGCGACCTCAACACCTTCTCCGCCCTCATCCAGAACTTCTACAGCCAGCAAGGCGACGGCACATGGCCCCACCCCGCCGTCCACCTGACTGTCTCGACCGTCCCCGGCCAGGAGATCGAGTCCAAGACGTACATCTCCGCCCCCATTGGCGTCACCGCCGAGCGCGCCGCCGACTCGTGCCTCTTCATCCCCGTGCCCCACGAGATCAAGTACGGCGAGGCCGAGCGGTCAGGCCTGGAGCTCATCTCGTCCGCCAAGGACCGCGAGGACCGGTCGCAGGACGTCATGACGGACCTCGACTCGCTGGAGACGGCCATCACACACGTCCTGGACATGCTCGAGCGCGTCTCCAACTACGTTAACAACGTGCTGGACGAGGAGGCCGAGCCATCCTCCGCGCTGGGCCAGTTCCTGATGAACGCCCTCAGCCTGGCACCCAAGGTCGAGCCCGCCGACATTGAGCGCGACTTGTACGTCAGAATTATCCATACTTCCAGACATATGCTAACAATTCCAGCAACGCACACATCCAAGACGTCCTCGTCGTATCGTACCTCGCCAACACCATCCGCACACAAATCGACCTCTCGAACCGTCTCGCGACCGCCGCGCTCACCATGGGCGGCGGCGACCCTCTCGCTGGCGACGGCAAGAAGGACGGCGACAACAGGGGCAAGGGCGGCGATCGACGGGGTGGCGGCAAGGGCAGGCAACAAAGAGAGCAGGAGGCATGATTGGGATAAAAGGCACACTGCATGGAGTTTGGCGTTCTAGTGACATGCCACTGCTGACGCAGTAAGCGCGGCAAAGCGCTTAGGGATCAAAGAAGAAAAGGCTGCGCGTCTGGATACGAAGGGCAATGGGACAAGATGATGAGGAGAGGCGAGCGAGCTGAGGCATGAATGAGCCGCTCGCTGACGAAGTAGAGCATCATATGGTGCGCTGTATCACTACTGCTTTATTCTGATGGTAGCAATGATGGCATTTGACCGGATGCATAAGGCTTGATGAAATGAACAAGATCAAACAGCTGGGGTAGTGTATGTGATCTCATTTCCTAATGCCTGATTCTCGATTCTCAGATTCACACACAATTGGTCGCTATTTACATTTTAGTGCACCATGATAGAAACACCATGATATAAAAGCAGATGCACCTTGGAATTGAAGTCCAAGATATGACGCGGAAGAGCATGCACCTCGGAGTTAAACTCCAAGATAGAACGCGGAAGAGGATGCACCGTGATGGAGACCACGATAGAACGCGAAAGGAAAGTGCACCGTGATAGAAACCACGATAGAATGGAGTGCACCAGATCGAGATCCGATAGAACGCAAAAGGAAAGTGCACCTGATGTGAATCTGAAAGGACGCGAGAAGGAAGTGCACCGTGATAAAGACCACGATAGAACAGAATGCACCGTGATAAAGACCACGGTAAAAAGCGAGAAGGAAAGTGCACCAGGTGTGAACCCGATATGAAGCGAAAGTAAAGTGCATCAGGTGTGAACCTGATAAAACGCAGTAAAAATCATGCTCGCGGCTCTCCTCAGCCATACGAGCCGCTTGCCACTTCGGCGTCTGCCATAGCCCAATTCCTTCATTTCATTTGTCTGTCTAAGGATTAACTTCAGTGGTTTGGGAAGGGCGTTGGGGGTTGGTACTTACGTCGAGGTTCAATAGCCGTGGTGAAAGGCGTTTGCAATTGTTTTGTCGATTTGGGTCATGCCGATTTAGTCCATGTCGATTCATGTCATGTCAATGTAGTTCATGTCGATTTGGTTCATGTCGATTTGGTCCACTCAATTCGAGGTTCATTCGATTTTGGTTCAACCAATTCGGTTCGAGGATCATGTTCGAGGACGAGCTCGCGAATAGCCGCCGCAATATGCCATGGATGCTGACGTTTTCGCGACGCCTCCGATCCCGCTTTGTCATTTTGCGATTTCGATTGCGAGGCTTTCAATATGGACAATTCGTCGAGGTTGGTTCGCAATTCTGCCGCTTTGGATGCAAGGGCAGAGACGACGGCATCGTCTTGTTCGTCTTGAACGATGTTAGCAGGGTGCTAAAAACAGCGGAGGCATGACGGTGACTCACTTCCGATGCCTTTGCATCGCAGGTACAATTTCACAATTCGATTTTCAACAGCAATTGTAACATTTGCGCTTTGACGAGGTCGTGGTATCAACGATTCAGCGCCAGTACGCCAGCAACGAGGCGGCCGAGCGCTTTGGTTGTGCGCTCGTGATCATTTTGCAATTGCAATATTACCAAGGAGTCATGACGAGGATGAGCGAAGGCTCTAGCGATTTGCGATTCAATGTGTGCCGGCGTAGTGTTCACATTGCGATTTGTTGGTGTTGCTTCGTGTTGGTGGGGGTGTTGTGGTGATGGACTGACTAGGCAGCAGCGGAAGGCAGGCCCGACACCCCGCATTGATCAGTCACGTGCTAGTGCGTCATCGCTGGTAACACCTGAGCGCCTTCTGCAACACCTCAATCGCCGCAAGTACTCAGCATCTACCAGCATCGCGCATCGGATGGGTATCGAACTTGCCGACGACTATCCACGCTATCGCTCAGGACTTCTCTATATGCCATGTAAATCTCCAAACACAACGCGAAGCGATCCCCCATCGTGGCGCAGTCGTGGCAGTGAACTCCAAACTCTTCAGCCTGATAAAAGCGAGGCTGGCGCTCTCCCTGGTTCAATAGCAGTATAGGGTAACACCTTCACATCGTTCCTGGTAGGATCTTGGTTCTGGACCAGGCTACGAGATGTGCACCTCACCGCCCATTGTGCAGTTGCCTCAGGCAGACTTAGATCTCGTGTCGTCGTGATGGCTTTCGGTCCTGTTGGCACCGCGTACTTTGCTGCGCCTGGTTCACAGGCCCACCTGGAGAAAGTTAAGGTATAAGGATGTCTTGCATCTCTAGTCAGATTGACCAACATGCTAGTATTCTGGTTACGTATCTTTCTTACAATGTCACTTCGCAACACTCTCGTCGCCGACGACACCGCTTCTGCTTCGTCACAGGGCGTCGCGAGCCGAGCGAGCAACCTCAATGCCGTTCCCGACGACATTCACCACCTCATTCTCTCCGACATCGCGGATACATCACCCGCAGACTTACTCAATGTAGCACAGTCTTCCGAAGTCTTGCACCATGCGGCGCTACCATACATATACCGCAACATCATCTTGAACGGAGAGTCAACGGCATACAAGACACTTGTGGAGAAGCTCTCCAAGCATGAGCACGGTGACCTTACGAAGCACATCCGCAGCATCACCGTCAAAGACAAGGTACCATCCGAAGACCTGGTTATGATACTCAACAAGACTTCGCGGCACAGGAATCTTCGATCGCTCAAGTATGTTCCTTTAACCATTTCAGATGTCGAAACTAAGTCTCGTAGTTGGGAGACCTCCGCGCACATACCTCCGGCAGTATACGACATCATCCACGCGATTGGGCCGAAGCCGGAGATACGCGTTGTTGTCGTGGACCGGAAGATGGCAAGGACCATTCCCCATCGTCAGATGGACATGAAGCTTCTGTCGTCTCCGCTTCTTGTTAGCTTGACCTACGAGGTATACATGCAGGGCTTCGCCCCCGAGCACCCTTGCCGATCCGAGTGGCCCCGACTGTCCCAGGCACTGGCGACTGCTGGAAACGTTAGATCTCTTCGGCTCCAAGTCTTGCAAGACGGTCACAACCTTTTCACACCCGATACAGAGCCGGCGAAGATACCGCGCCTCGATCTCACCACCGGTATGCGCCTACCTCTACTGGAGGAGATGACTCTTCAGACTTTGAGATACCATGGCCAGACGGCGTACCTCTGGGACCTCGACTACTGTCGCATGTTCCGCGATGCTATCGACTGTTCCCGACTGCGTAAGCTCGACTTCGGCGGCGAACATCCCGCAAACTTTTTTTCTTGCTTCACGGGACTTTGCCCCAAGCTAAAAGTGCTGAGTTTTGGGATGTGGGAGGGTGATAAATCGCCTGCGAAGCGGTTCATTGAGTCGATTGATGCACTTGAACATCTCGATCTGTCACGAGCGCAAGCGGGTATAGACGATCTTTGGCCCGCTATTGAGCAGCACAAGGATACACTCGAGACATTAATCCTTAGGCCGACATTCGAAGCATACTGCCACAAGGTTGTTATGCCCTTCAGCCGTTTGAAGGACATCGCGCGAACATTCCCTAGGCTCAAGCATTTAGGCTGGGACGCACCCTGCGAACGCAACGTAAGCACCGCTCGCCCGGACCAAGTCGTAGTTGCGCTGACCGTACCATTAGATCGATCCGCAACATCTCGTCGCCCTAGTAGGGATGAATCTTACGAAGCTTGATCTCTGGCTGCACATTCCGCAAGAAGCAAACGACTACAGCGAAAAGCTCGTACAGGATATCTGGGGCAACATCCCCCACCCCGAACTCAACAAAGAGAGTACTGTGGCATCTGCGACCGGTATTGCAGATCGGCTTTTGGGGTCTGGGCAAGGTGCTTTCCAGTGGCTTACTCTTCATCTCTCGCGAGAGGGGGCGTCGGATCGCTGCCAGCCGTATATGATGTACTCGAAGCTGCAACTTAGACTGAATGGGCGTTCTAAAAGGACGCATGGAGAAAAGTGGGATGTGCGCGGTAAGCTGGACTGGTCTTATGAACCCACTTTGGTGGAAGATCTGCTTTTTGAGGAGAGGTAGGGGGATGACAGTCGGGGCGGAGTACAAGACCGTTTTCTAACTCCGTCCAACGGTACTGCAATGATGCAGATCGAGCGATGAGCCACTCACGACTCCCGCAATACATCACAATCGTATTCGCAAATAGACTCCCCAAATGAGAGAGATGGCAATCACCAGATTCATGGTTGGCTCGTCTTACCCGTGGGTTATCTGTGAACCACGGAACAGCCCTAGGTGTCGCATCTTTGGTAGCGAATGGCGCAGTTATCTGTCTACTTGAAAAATTCTGCATCCGATATATTCGCCGTCGCACCTATCATCTATCTCTCTTCACAGCACTCGCTACAATGGACGAATATGACCCAGAAGAACGAATTAACGAGCAAGAAATGGAAGTCAACGATCAGTCGCCCACACGAGAGCAGCGTAAGGCCGCACGACGCTTCGAGAAGTTCGAAAGAAGAGCCATAAGGAACCGCATAGCCCATCTCGACCAACTCCTCGCACGCGCGAGGGAGAATGCATACAAAGCTCATCACCGCGCGGCCGAGCTGAGCAACGAGGTCGAAGAAGAACGACCAGCCCTTATCGAGGCCTTGCTTCCATACGAAAGGCGCAAAGCCGCAAGATCGAAGCAAAGAGCTAGAGACCAACACCTAAAGATGCTTGACCGGCTCTTCCGCCTGCCGAGAGAGATCCGCGATCTGATATACCACCACGCCTGGAGCGGCACGATAATCCCGTTCTACCAAGAGCTAACCTGGAACTTCGCGGAGCACAATCTAATGCCCCAGGGCCCAGTCATTACGGCTGAGTATTCATCTACTGGTACATACAGGGCAAGTCTCATGTCGCACTCGGAACTGGTAACACCAGTGAACGGAGGGCCCTGCAAGGGACTTAGACACGCGCAAGAGTACGCGTGGATTTGGACGAGCCGGCAGATCTACGCGGAGTCTACGGAGCAGTTCTATCGCTACACCCAGTTCACACGACCAGTGCGGGCTGAGAGACATTACTATCACATGTGCGCGCACATCGTTCCGAGACGCAAATTGTATGAGTCGACATACGCCTTCCCGAATATCCTCCTCGCACGCCGCGTGCTGCTCGATGTAGGATACGAAATAAGCCTTGACGTCCCCAACTACGGCATATCGGCCTCGATTCTGGAACTGCTGGCTATGGCGAAAAAAGGGGGTGAGAAGAAGGCGCTGCAGGTGAGTTGGATAAGCAATCTGGCGGATACGAAAGCTTTTCATCTTAAGGATTTGGTTCCGGCGAGTACGCCGCACTCTATGGCTAGTAGAGCGTTTGATGAGCTGGTGTTGAAGGATTTGGAGAGGGTGGGCTGGGAGATTGCGGTTGATGAACGGGAAACGTAAGTTAACGGTACGGTGGAAAGGTAAAGCGAGATTGGTCAGTGTGTGAATGCGCAATATCAAAGACCTAGACAACTGGAGCTCTCACAGATAGCGGGCGTTTTAGGCATGATACGCCTGCGATCGATAGCAGAAACGCGGGGGAGGATGCTCTCGCCAGAGTAGCAGAATCTTGGTGCTAGCGCACACATTCTTCGTTTGTAGTGGGAATTGGTGGCGACGGTACCGCACGAGGCGCAATAGTTCGATAGCAATAGTGCTGTTACTAGGATCGGCTTGGACAGTCATAAATGTAATAACATCCCAAGCTCATCCTAGCCACTCCCCTTCCCAATCGATCGCCGAAGCCACGAAGCCTTCTTGTCAATCGGAGGCGAAGCCAAGTTCCTAGCGCGCATCGTTACTAATGATCCTGGAAATACCATACTTTCCCAGAGATGCGGTGGAATGACCAGATCGATGTCTTTCAACAGATCATACTCTCCGTTTCTCACTAGCTCTGAAATAATAGCTACGCCGGAGCCGATCTTTGCAATGAATTCCTGCATTCCCTGCGCAACTTAGTGCGAGCATGTTTATGAAGCTTGGAAGACTACTTACCTCCCAGGTGTGACACAGATGCCAGGGGCATGAGAACTTTCGGCCGATAGGATCCTGAAACATCATCGGTGCACTTGTCTTCAGCGCAAGCTCAATCGCTGCTTTGGCTTCTGTCTCTTGTTGCGCCTTTTGTATGACTTGGAACCTTTCGTATTCTTTCTCATCTCGAATGCGTATCGCTTCAGCTGCTGATGCCGCAGCTGCGTCTTTCTTCATTTGCTCATCTTTCTGGGCGAGGATTAGTTTCTCGAGCTTCCTTAGTCTGTGGTCTTCATGGCTAGAGCGACGTGAACTCGTTGCTGACATGTTGGGTCTCACTCTTGAGTTTTCTGCGGTGATATCTGACTGTCTTCGCTCCTGTGTAGGAGACTCTGGGGTTGCATCCTGACGTTCTTGTGGCATATCGTTGCGTGCCGACCTCCCACCTGTGCGCTCGGGCGAGTTCCGTAAATGCGCTCTAGTATTGGATGTCGACGAATCATGTTCGTAGGCAGTGTAGTCTGCACGTCTATGCGCAGAAGTATTCCCGGAGGCATTCCAGCTCCACGTCGCCTTCGGGCTCTGGTAATCTAGCACGTCCTTTGCCAGGGCACAAGACATTTCCTGTAGTTCGATTACCTGAGCACACTCGCGAGAGATTTGAATGGCACAGCTATCGTCCTCACAGTCTTGGCTTTTGAGGACGGTTGAATTGTGTCTCGTTATCAAGGCTTGTTGCAGGTGCGCTGCACAAAGCATGACCAACTCTCCACCTGCTTCCTCTGCCGTGACTTCAACCTCTGTCAAAGCGCTAGAATCCAAAGTGAGCGTAAATGATGGGCACTCGTCTTGCTGGGTATCGCTGTGATGATGCAGATACCCGGAAGCGTCTTCGGCGAACTGAATGTGGCTCTCCACTTGTGTCCTTAGACTGTCGCTATAAGTGCGTCAGCCATGCTACCGTGTTTGCAGTCTTCTGTAGCGTACCTGATTGATTCCGGGGCATCTCGCTGCAGTGCAACGGCCAGATTCATCGTGGAGACAAGCACTAGGATGGTGGTCTTGAAGGAATCAACTAAGCTCTTCACGAACATAACCTTGGGCCCGATTTTCATCCATCTAAATCGGAATCGTATGAGCGGCATCGTGAAAGCGCGTCGTCTGGGATCCTTCTGGATGGGCTCCCCAATAAGCATCTTCATGTCTTCTATGAGGGTGCTGCATGCCGCGATTAAAAAGACAGTGATCTCGCGAAGCTTCTCGGTCTTGGGATGTGGAAGATCAACGACCGTACTCAACTGCGTGAGCGAGTTTGAAAAGACAGAAATATCTGCAGCGATGAGCCTAGCTTCGTACTCTGCAGATTTGATGACATTAGCGACCTGGAGGAGCGTTCTGGCCAGCTGTGCGCTGGTGCCTGCCAGTGTGATTAGTGAAGCTGCCAGACCGATGACCTCTGCCATAGCGACAAGGTCATGTGTTCAGAAATCGGGTGCTGCTCGGTATGAGTCGCAAACGTTGTGGATATATGAGTCGTAAACGTTGTGGATATTGAGCCAGGCTCTGAAGCAAGCCTGTTCATGAAAGCCTCTTGTCGTCGTTCTGCTGCTCCGCCCCCAAGGCTGAGATATGTACGTTGATTGTATTGGTTGTGACAGGTCGCATGCCCCGCACCGGTAAGCATCTTCATGACAGAGTGTACTCAGCCATGCTACACCACCTGCAGATCCTTAATCGAAGCGAGGCAGAAACCTATGGCGGATTTTGTTATCGGTGACGGATGGGTCTGATGTGGAGGCGGAGTGGAGAGGCGGCCGAAATGTGGCGGCGTGCGGTGACGCGGAGCAGGCGAGCAACTCGCGACTTCCAAAATCCAGGTCGCATCCATCCTATCGGGTCGTCTCGAAACGGAAGTGACATCAACAGCAGAACTTGCGACGAAGATGCACTGGGGTAAACACATGTAATGACCGATTGGCGCACCCTATCCACTCTCCACATCCGCAGCCTTCGTCTCAACCTTAATCTCCGGGCCCTCAATCTTCTTAACCTTCCTCCCCTCCCACCAACTCATAATCCCCGCAAACATCGCAACCCCACACCCCAACGCAATAAACGTGCCCGTCGCCCAAGTCGGGCGATCCAACCGATTATAATGCCACATAAAAAAGCACAACACAGCCTGCAACAGCGTATTCAAAACCATCATATCAACCGTAAAAGCCAATTTCCACATCCCCGTCGGCGGCGCCCTCTCCCCCGTAAACGTCTGCGGCATCAACTCCTCCTCGCCCCTCCACCCCTCGTTCTCCGTAAACCAGCTTGGTGGTCGAAACCAAGCTTTATTCTGGTTCCAGAGCCGGCGCATGGCGTTTGAGTCGTGGAAGTGCACGGCACGCAACATCCAGTAGAAGTCGCGGAAGCGCCAGGGTGCGAGGCCGAAGCCCGTGACGCAGAAGAGGGCGTTGAGGATCTGGCTGTCGATTTCGAGCCAGATTTTGCGGGAGCTATAGTTGTCGTTGCAGCTGGGGTGGCACATGGCGGGCGCGGCGTTGAGGAGGAGGAAGAAGAGCATTGCGCCCCAGGCCTTGGGTTGTTATTAGTGCAAGGAGGGATTAATGGGACGGGCGTGTACGTACGACGATGTTGAGACCGTAGATGGTGATTAGGAAGCCGGAGGGGGTGAGGAAGAAGACCCAGAAGGCTTTCAGACCGTGCTTGATGGTAGGGCCCCATGGCTCCTTGTCCTCAGACGCGTGCTTCTCCTTCAACGTCCGTCTGCGGTGAAGTCCATGTCCATGAGGCCTGCGCGATCTCTTCCCAGTCTTCTCGTCTACCTCACCCGGCACAATCGCGTCTGTGGTTGGCTGGTCAAGGATCCTAGTCTGGGACTTGACCAAGGTGAGCTCTCCGTCTTCGTCTGGAACCGCTACTCGAGTGGCATGGCCATGCGCATCGAACGTGATGTTTGAGCCTCCAGACTCTGGCTCTCGCAACTCTGTCAAGTTGGGCGCTTGAGCCATTGCCGTCGCAGTGGCCTGCCACATGCCCAGCTGCGGTGTCGTGTGCAGCAACGACAGCGACATGCCGCGCGCCCGCCCAATGATGCCCTTCTCTTGATCTTCGGACATGGCTGGATGTGTATGCGCAGCCGTCGTCGTATGCGATACAGATTCGGACGTCCAAGTCGAGGTTAATGATGGAGTGGGTGCTTCCGCTTCCGCTTCACATGTCACTGAACCTGCGCTCGGTGTCTCGCCGTTGAGCTACTCGGGAGCAGAGACGGTGACGCCTATGTATGCGGCCCTCGGTCCAACTGTGATAGGCGTAACAACACGGACGATCATGGCGCCGCCACACGAAGTCCTGAGTTTCCGGTCCAGACTATCGAGATGGACACGGCCGAGCACAATCTGTTCGTGCGAAAGTTCGTTGGGCGCAGATGATCGGCGGCGCGGCATGGGTAACACGCCGTTACGGTGGACTAAATCAAGTTATCGTGCAACAATTATTTTAGAACTTTAAAACTGTAAGCAGAGTAAAATTTTTAACTTAATATTACACTACGCATTATATAAAGGCTTAGAATTTAATAGAATATATTTATATTACTATTAATAACCTCTTAGAAGAGAGATTAAATATAATACCTTCTTATATAGAGGCTCTATAGGCGCTACCTTATATCTACCTTTTTATATATAGATAAAGTCTCTATACTTATACTATAGTGCTTAGAAGCTATAGGCTAGGTAGTAGTAATTATATAATACTTAGAAAACTATTATCTAGCTTATACTATAGTTAGAGTATATACTTATATAACTAGTAAGCTTAAAGAGCTTAGAGTTAGGCTTATAGCTAAAAGAAGATCTATTAGAACTACGCTTAGAGCTACTAAACTAATTCTTTTACTTACTATATAAGAGGCTAATAGAAGAATTCTTACTAGTACTATAAAAGTAGGTAGAGGCGTAGTTATTCTAAATATAGTTAGAGTAGGTACTTCTAAACTAGCTAGTAACACTTATATAGCTAGTAAAGTAAAAGAACTTTCTAAAGCTATTATACGTATTACTATAGTTAGTATAAGCTATTATATTAAGCATACTCTTAAGATAGACTAGAATAGCCTTAATATATAAAGTACGCTAGAATAAAATATAGTTAATAGTAATATAACTAGTATAAGTAATAAGAAAAGTAATAGTAGAGTTATATAAAGAGGTGCTAGCTATATAGATAGAGAAGTTAGCTAGGTAAGTATAGTCTACGCTCTATATAGAGTTAGTATATAAATAAGAGTAAGAAAAGATATATATATAGTATAGGTAAAGGCGTTAGAGAGAGTAGTAGTAATAGTAATATTAAAGACTAGAATCTTCTTATATAAATTAGAGTTAGAGATAGTATCTATCTAGTAGCTTTAGAAGTAAGTAATAGCGCTAGTAGAATTAACTAAGTAGATAAGATAGCTTTAAGTAAGAGCGTAATAAGCTATATAGAAAGTCTTATAGTTAACGCTATACGTAGAGTAAGAGCTAACGTTAGTATTATAAAAGAAAAAGTTCTTATAAGTAATTTAGTAGCTAGTCTAGGTAAAGCTAAGACTAGTAGAAAGGTTAGCTATAATAGTTATATAAGAGTAGATATTAAGAGAGTTAAGCTAAAGTTAATAAAAGCTATATAAGAGTAGAAGAGTAGAAAGAAAGTAAGGTATAAAAGTAATAGAGAAGAAGAAAAGTAGGTTATTTATATACTTAGCCTAGAGGCTATAATTATAGTAGTCTTCTACTACTCTTACTACGTAATTTCTACTTCTCTCTCTTATCTATATAATACTTTAAAAAGTTTAAGAAGAGCTATAGAAAGATAGTATATAGAGAAAATTTAGAGTTCTAGTGCTATATAATACTATCTAGCTATTATATATCTTTTAAATATTATATTATATATAATATCTATATATATAATAAGCGTATAGAACTCTTAAAGTAAAAGAAGCTAGAAATATCTAAGAGCTAGCAAAATTCTGCTTTACCTCTAACTACGTTATTATCTTATATACGTATAGAACTATATATAATTATCTTATATATATATAGAACTATACGCGCTTCTTACCTTTACTTTTACTTCTAGTAGAAACTCTAATAGAAGTTAGCTCTTATATAGGCGTTAGAAAGTTAGAAGACTTAGATAACTTAGATCTAGAGATAGTGTTAGCCTAAGAATTATAGAAATATAAGTTTTCTAGGTTACTAGTATTATTTTATATAAGGCTATCTTTAATAGAAAGTAGCTTAACTCTATTAGTAGAGAATAAATACTACTTTTAAAATTTAGAAAGCTAAGAGATAGATTACTTTTATATAATAAGTTCTTTCTACTTACTCTTTTTTCTACTTATAAGTGTTTTAGGTTCTTTCTTAATAGCTTTCTCTTTCTTAATAATAACTTTCTTCTTCTAAGCCTTACGTATAAGTAGAGTTAGAGTATTTTCTTTTTCTAACTCTTTCTTATATATCTTAAAGTAGATAAAGATATTATACGCACTACTCTAGATAGCCTTTTTAAAAATACTCTTCTTAAATAGCTTAAGTATTATATAAAAGCGCTATATACTTTCTTCTAGATATATTAGTCTATTCTTTATAATATCTAAAGCTAGAAACTTTAGAAAGTCTTTATATAGGCTATACTACACCTTATTTACCTTACTAAGAAGCTAGTTATTAATAAAGAAATCTATATTATCTAGAGTAATATTCTTAATTAGAAAGTTAGACCTAACTAGAGAAATATAAGAAAGTGTATTTTTAAGTATACTATACAAGACTTATAAATAATCTTATAGCCTAAGAAGTTTATTAGAATTCTACTACTTAGTTATATAGAGTATTATATAATAACTAATATAAGATCTATCTTTATATAGCTCTCTTTACTAGTAGTAAGGTCTTTCTACTTCTATTTCTTTATTAGAATTATACTCTTATTCTTCTTATACGCGTAGTTTAAGATAGAGTTATTTCTTACTAGTATAGACTTTATATAAGCTTAAACTTTTATTATATTCTAGTTTATTAGAGAAAGTTATACTTTTAAAAGTAAGTTTATTTATAAAGGTATATATAGAGCTCTTAATATAGCTTTTAGAGTAGAGCTTTCTTTATCTAGTAATAAAAAGTTAGTAACTAAGCTAGTATACTTATTCTACTATATATAAAACTCTATCTATAGCGTATAAGAGGTAGTAGAAGAGGTAGAAGAGGGTCTCTCTCTATTTATATTCTATTAGCTATAGAACCTATAGAACTTAGTAATCTAAGTAGAGTTATATTTCTAGCTAGTATCTAGGTAGAACTTTGTAAGAGCTATTATATAGAAGCTAAGAAGAGAAAAAAAAGTTAAGATAGAGAAAGTATAGAAGGTTAGAGAGATTAGGTTATATATAAAGAATTTTTATACTTCTCTATCTATTTTCTTAGCTATATATACTCTCTACTAGCTTTTATTCTTTTTCTTATATAAGCTATCTCTAATAATAGATTCTATATCTTCTACTACTTATCTAAAGTCTATTTCTAACGCGCTCTTTTATACGCTATCTTACTACTTTAGATACTCTAGTAGTATCTAGTTAAAGAACTCTACTAGTGTTTAAATTAGCTCTAACTAAGATAAAGAGTTAGAGGTAATATATATCTAGGCTCTTATATAAAGTACTAGATATACTTTCTAGAAAGCTATATCTCTATTTTCTACACTACTTATAATAGTATTCTATAGATTAAACTCTAACTTTTAAAGCTATATTATACACTAAATCTATATAGCTAGAGAGAGAATAGTATCTATATTCTAGTTCTCTATCTCTCTATCTAACTTAGCCTAAATAGCCTTATTATATAAAGTTCTAAACTTCTTAATATAGTCTTCTAGCTGCTAGTATAGCTTATTAGGTCTACTAATAACTATATTTAGCCTTCTCTTCTACTTATAGATAGTGTAGGTATTTTATATTTATATAAAGATATACACTTTCTCTCTTACTATAGAAAGATATATAGCTATTATAGTAACGTAGTTAGCTAGGTTTATATAACTATATAGCCTATCTTATATTAACTATAAAAGAACTTTCTATCTTATTAGTTAAAGCTTTATATAAAGTAGAGTAAACTTACTTTCTACTAAAATAATACTTCTTTAAATAGTATTACCTACTAAAACTTAATTCTTTAGTTTATAGTACTAGTTCTGTATATATAGTAGTTCTTAAACTTAATATCTAAAATAATACTTTTTGTAAAGAGGTATTACGTGTATAAAAGATATACTATTTTACTACTATAATTAAACTATATATACTAAGAAAATAGGCTAGCTATCTTAATAGTATTTAGGTACTATTATATAACACTAATTAAGATACTAGATAATACTTCTATATATATCTATATAATATATTAAGAGTATATATCTATTCTAGTATATATCTTAATACTAAACTCTTTAAGTTTATTATAGCTATCTATAGACTATATAAAGTTTAGTTCTAGTATAATATACTCTTCTTTTCTTCTCTATACGTCTTTTCTACGCTAGTCTACTTTTTCTAGGTTTAGCGTATAATAGATATAAAACACGTAGTCTTTTATAATATAGTTTCTCTTTAATCTTAAATAAGTATAGAAGTAGCTTTTACTAAATCTATTAAGAATTTTCTTTTTTAATTCTTTCTTATATATTCTCTATATAAGCTTATCTACTACTACTTATAGATCTATATCTATAGCTTTTCTCTTTAATTTAAGCTAAAACTATATATAGATTAATATTTACTTTAAGATATTATAGCTCTTATTTTTAAGCTTCTTTAGTATCTCTTTATTATAAAGTCTTAACTTATAGAAGAAGTACTATATAAGCTACTTAAGATACTCTTTTACCTCTAGTTCTATTCTTCTCTTTAACCTCTACTTTTTTAGCTACTTCTTAATTATATAAATAGACGCGCGTATTTAGCGCTTAGTGTTTAGCTAAAATTTTAACTCTTCTACTATATAGCCTACGCTATATAGTTTAGTAAGTTTATCTCTATAGAGTTCTAGGTTAATAATAAAGTATCTAGCTAAGAATATTAGTATGCGCACTATACAAAACAATATTTTATATACTAGATATAGTAGTATTACGCTCTTATATAAAGGTAGTTAAGATAGTAGGTTTTAGGTAGGTAGAGATTTTAATTTTCCTGCAGGGCAAAAATAATTATTGCACGACCTCTTAATTTAGTCTACTGTACGCTGTAGATTGGCCCGCTTCGCCGCAGAAGATCCGCGGCCTGCAGATTGCGAGCCGATCAAGTAAGAGGTGTAAGCGTGCGCTAGAGGCAACCCGGAAAGACTGATTACTCGTACCAAGACCAACAGTTGAAGCATGTTGATGCCCGTCATTCGTCTAATCTTCCTATAATCCATCGGGAGCCCGATGTAGCTTCCGCGTGCAGCCGGTATCGCAATGCCTCTCAACTTCAGCTCCAGACAGAAGCGCGGCGAGTACCATGACGGGAAAGCGCAAAGTACCGGAAGAGTCAACACGTTCGGCCAGGTCGCCATACAATTCCACAGGAACACGACGCATCTGAAGTACTGGTTCGACAAGCTCCAAAAAGATTCCGCGGCATGCCGACCGCCGGGATGCGCAAAACCGCGAAGAGGCAGCACGACTTTGGTGGATGAGTTCATCAGCGACAAGACGAGCAGCATCAGCGCACCGCGGCTGAACATCGCGATACATATCTGCGGGTCTCGCGGCGATGTGCAGCCTTTCATTCCGATCGCGAAGCTGCTCCAGGCTGCGCCACATCACCACCGAGTGCGCATCTGCACGCATCCGGCCTTCAAGGACTTTGTGGAAAGCAACGGGGTGGAGTTCTTCTCCATCGGAGGCGACCCCGAAGCACTCATGGCTTACATGGTGAAGAACCCAGGGCTACTACCAAACATGCAGTCCATCAAAGCCGGCGAGATTGGCAAGCGACGAAAAGAGATGGCCGAGATGATGGAGGGGACCTGGAGAAGTTGCATTGAGGCGGGTGATGGCATGGGCGAGAGAGTCTCAGCATTGGACGTAGACGCGCCTGAGGATTTGTTCATCGCAGATGCGATTATTGCCAACCCTCCGTCCATGGGCCACATTCATTGCGCGGAGAAGCTTGGCATTCCGCTGCACATGGTCTTCACCATGCCATGGTCGCCAACAAAGGCTTTCCACCACCCCCTAGCGGCCATGGAATATGGCGAAGTTGAGAGGTCGGTCGCGAACTACTTCAGCTTCGGCATCATGGAGCTGCTCACTTGGCAGGGCCTAGGCGATGTCATCAACAAGTTCAGGACGCAGACCTTGCACCTAGACGCTATCAGTCCACTCTGGGGTCATCTCTTGCTTTCGAGACTTCGCGTCCCGTATAGCTACCTATGGTCACAGGCTTTGATCCCGCGGCCAGCTGACTGGGACTCACACATCAGCATTACCGGTTTCTCGTTCCTGGATGCCGGGTCGAATTACACGCCGCCGGTCGACCTGGCTGAGTTTCTTGCGAAAGGTCCTCCTCCGGTGTACATTGGTTTTGGCAGCATAGTGGTAGATGATTCAGTGGCTCTCACCAAGCTCATCTTTGACGCTGTGAAGCTAGCAAAGGTCAGAGCGATCGTCTCGAAGGGCTGGGGCGGCGTGGGTGCGGGTGATGTGCCGGATGATGTGTACCTCATCGGCAATTGTCCGCACGACTGGCTCTTCCAACGGGTCTCTTGTGTAGTCCATCACGGGGGCGCGGGTACGACGGCTGCCGGTATTGCCTTGGGTAGGCCTACGGTTGTTGTGCCCTTCTTCGGTGACCAACCCTTCTGGGGACAGGTAAGCGTGCGTTGATACACGACTGAGCCGACCTAACAATACGATAGATGATCGCAAAAGCTGGAGCTGGTCCAATGCCCGTTCCCTTCAAACAGATGACTGCCGAGAGCCTTGCGACGAGCATTACCTTTGCGCTCCAAGATTCGGTCAAGGTCGCTGTTCAGAAGATGGCCGAGAGTATCGCAGAGGAAGACGGCGCTGGCGATACTGTGCGCGACTTCCAGCACAAGCTGGGCATCGATGGAATGCGATGCCATATCTGCCCAGATCGCCTCGCTATATGGCGAGACAAAGAGACTGGCGCACATCTCAGTGGCTTCGCAGCCTCCGTGCTTGTCCAAGAAAGGCTGTTGGATTTGAAGCATCTACGTTTGTTGCAACATCGGCATTACTACACCCATGAAGGCGCTGAAGGGCCATTAACCGGTGTCGTCGCTGCTTTCGGAGGACTCATGTCCTCTTTGGGTACCGATACAGCTGAGTTCTCGCAGCGGCTGAAGAAGAGACCACGCGAAACTGAGGCCGACGTCGAAGCCTTGAGACGAGTACCAACCGTTGATGAGCCCGACCTGGAGAAGGGCATCACATCCAAACACTTCCACCACCTGGCGTACAGAATGGCAGCGAAGTCATGCGATGACGACTACACGCACAATTTCGAGAAGCCGCAGAACCGCCCGGGCATATCAGCTCTCCGCGAGAAGATTGCTGCGAGGCGAGCAAGAGGCGGCCGTGGCTACCAAATCACAAGCGCAACCGCACATTACGTCGGTGATCTCGCGGCTACAGGAGCCAAAACCCCAGTCGCCTTCTTCTACAACATCGCAAACGGCTTCCGGAACCTACCCTCATACGCAATCCACAACGACCCCGCGCGACAACGAGACGAAATCACTGGTTTCGGCAGCGGCTGCAAGCTCGCCGGCAAAGAATTCGTGCTCGGCCTCAGCGACGCACTTGTAGGCATCGTCCGCCACCCCTATCTCGGCGCGAAACAAGAAGGCGCCATGGGCTTTGGCAAAGGAATTGGGCGAGGTCTAGCTGGGCTATATCTCCATTTGGGAGCCGGTAAGTTCGGGTTCCGAATATTCCGCTTATCCGTTTATCTAACACTGTCTGTCAGCGGTCTTTGGCCTGCCAGGATACTTCCTGAAAGGCGTCGAGAGGGGCCTCTTGGCGCGACATCTCACTGCGCTGCAGGCGGAGATTTTCTTTATCCAGCTGCGCCGATCTGCGGTCGCGTTCCGTAGTGCGAGTGATGTTGAGAAGGCGGCGGTGGTGAAGAAATGGGCGGAAGTGAAATCAAGCATAGACAGGCATTAGCGAGGAAGTTTTCGTAGGGCTGGTGGCCTCGTCTGCAAGGCACCCGACGAAGGATGCGGAGCGTTGTTGTTGGTTGCAAGGAATAGCCGGTGGCAGCCTGGGCCGCTACGCCCCGTTGGTTTTCGCTTCAGCGCGGTGAGCGCTAGCCAAGTAGCACCGCGCGACCACCGATATGGCTACGATTGCGACGGGCTACAAAAGCGACTGCCAGGCCGTTGCGAAACGTGACATCAATATACCCCTATCCTCTTCATACTCGTGCGACTTTGAGATGTTTTGCGCCCCGTTGTGATTGCTAGCAACGTCGCGACACGCTCACGACTTAACGCCCCGAAGTGTGCCGGAGGGACACAACATCCAGCGTGCGATGGAGTCAATAGACTTGAAGCGCGCAGCATGGCAGATCGCGCTATCTGCAGCGACTGCCGCCATTGCTGTCTTCATGTTCAAGTTGGTGAAGATGCGCATGATCTTCTACAGGCTCAAAAAGCAGGGCATGGTAAGCAGCCCTCCCCAAACGTGCCGCTCGCCCAGAACTAACATCCCCCTCCTCAAAGCCAATTCCAGCATGGGACTTCGCAACCGGAAATATGAGAGTAATACCAGGCCTTCTCAAGCAATTCCCAGAAAACTCGCAGCAATCCGACGCCTTTACATTGCTCTCAAACTCCTTCCCCGACTCCGACAACTGCTTCTACGTCGATCTCTGGCCATTCACCAGTCCGCTCATGATCGTCACGTCACCCGAGATGGCAATGCAAGCGTGTCAAGAACACGATCTGCCCAAGCCGCCCATTCTGATTCCGTTCTTTGCGCCGTTTGCGGGAGGCGCGAATCTTTTCGATATGAACGGCGCGGAGTGGAAGAGGTCGAGGGCGCTGTTTAACCCGGGGTTTAGTGATAGGGTTATGATGGAGAGTACGTCGCATATTATTGAGGAAGCTGAGGTCTATGTGGGGTTGCTAAGAGAGCATGCGAAGAAGGGGGATACGTTTTCTTTGGATCGATTGACTTGTGATTATATGATGGATCTCATCGGCGTCATCACCATGTAAGCATACCACCAGCTCATCACGTGTGTCTCAAGTACTAACACAACCAGCAACGCACGTCTCCACTCCATGACCAGCCATAACGCCCTTGCAGCAGCGATGCGTAGCTCCATAGAATGGAATTGCCGGGACCAGGAGATGAATCCGTTCAAGCGCTGGAACCCGTACCGCCCCTGGATCGAATGGCGAAACGGCAAAACGATGGATCGCTACATCAGCACGGAGCTCGACAAGCGATACGAAGATTGGCGTAGCAACAAGCCGTCCACCCGCGCCAAGTCTGTCATGGATATCACCATAGCCGCGTACATGGGCGAGCGAAAAGGAGCGGCCAAGCTCGACCCTGAGTTCAAGCGGTGGGCGACCGTTCAGATTCGACTGTTCTTGTTCGCGGGACATGATTCGACGGCCGCTACTATTGTATACAGTCTCTACATGCTATCCAAACACCCAGAAGCCCTGGCCAAAGCCCGTGCAGAGCTCGACGAGGTGTTTGGCGCAGGCAACGACACAGCCGCCGGCGTGCTGAAGAAGCATCCAGAGCAGATCAATAAGCTGCCTTACATGAACGCGGTAGTCAAGGAGACTCTCCGCCTCTTCCCACCCGCCTCAGGCATGCGAGGCGGTCTCCCCGGCGTCTTCCTCCGCGACAAAAACGGAAACAAATACCCCACCGAAGATATCAACATCTGGGTCGTCCACGGCGCGATCCAACGGAACCCGCACTACTGGCCCGAGCCTCACGCCTTTTTACCCGAGCGCTGGCTCGTCGAGCCCGGCCATGCTTTATACCCACCTAAAGGAGGGTGGCGCCCGTTTGAATTTGGCCCGAGGAATTGCGTGGGGCAGACGCTGGCGATGCTGGATATCAAGATCACGCTGGCTATGACGGTTCGTGAGTTTGATGTAAAGGATATGTATGAGGAGTGGGATCGACTAAACCCTTCGAATGGGATTAAGACGGTATTTGGTGAGAGGGCGTATCAAGTACCGCAGGGGGCTGCGCATCCGGTGGATGGGTTTCCTTGTAAGGTGAGTATGCGGGGGTCGTAGTGTAATGTATCAGCGCGGAGAGGTGGCTCGAGGTTGTTGTATAAGACGTCGCATCATGCGCATCTTGATCATCTTGAATGCATTGCGCACGCAAGGGCTTTTCCTGGCTTCCGACTATATGCAATAGGCGATGTCCCACAGTGTCCACAGCGTGGTGCTGTGTAGTACGCGTAGTGGCGGTGGTTGTTCCGCCAACGCCGTGTTTAGTGCGCGCGGCAATCTTTCCGATTTCCGAACGTGCACCCTGGGCGGGCTACAACTTTGTATACTAGCAGCACCACCAGCACCAGCACCGCCAACTGCACCGCTACGCATTGATACGACTGATACGCTTTCCGACACGTATATATCCAATTCCCTTCTTGATTCCTTACGTAACGACTTCATTGGCCAGCTGCCTCCCTCGCACCGACCCTCACGCAACGCCGTCACCTCACCGCACATGCGATAGTCACCGTCACACCACCCCCCGATCGAGATGCTGGGCTTCCGTCCGCTATCCGTGGGCAAGCGGAAAGCCAAGTCGTACAACCAGGCGGCGACCCACGAGCGCGATGTCGAGGACGGCGAAGTCAACGAGAAGGCCTACCAAAGCGACGACTACGAGGCCTACATGTCCTCGGGCACCACGAGCCCATCCTCATCCCGGGAATCCTCGGGCGCATACGACCCGAACCCGAACAATATCGAATCGAGACCGCTGCGACGGTCCTCCAAATCCCACCGGAGAGCCCCTTCGAAAGCCACCGTCAGCGCATACAGCTATAGGAACCCGCGAGCATGCACGAGATACTTCGGGCTGGCCGTGGCGAGTACGCTGCTCTTCTTCATGTACTTCCTCTTCAGCAGCAGCTGGGCCTCGATACGGAATGCAGAGCTCGGCCTGAACAAGCCGCCGCCGCCGCCCAACGTCTGGGAGAGCTTCCCGTTCCTGAAGCGGTACCACGGCGGCGTGCGGTCGCTGGTGAGCCGCGAGAAGAACGTGCCCGAATACCCCACCAAGCAGGACATTGACCCTGAGCTGCCCGCGGAGGAGCCTAAGAGCGACGTCGAGAAGCGACAGTCGCAGGGCGCACACATTGCCGAATCAATACCGTTCGACCCGTACCCAGACTACAGCGGCGTCAACTACGTGGACACATACGGGCCGGTCGAGACGTGCTATCTCGATGCGAACGACACCATCAAGGTGCCAGGGCTGCGGGCATACAAGGGCGTACCCCAGGGGATGCCGGATAACGTCATTGGGAGCTACGAGACACTGGGTCTGAGGGACGATGTCTGTTTTGAGCGCTTCGGACGCCTCGGTCCGTATGGCCTCGGCTACAGCAAGCGGCGCGGTGGGACGGGCGCCGGCATGGAGGGCGACCGCGAAGGCATCGAGGACGTGTGGAAGGTGGACGCCGAGGTAGACTTCCGCGACGTCAGCTGGGCGGAGGCAATCGACCGCTGCCTGGAGAAGAACAAGGGCCGCTTCCAGAAGCAACCCAAGTCCCGGACAGACTCATTTACCATGCAGAAACGCGATGCTGAAGACGCTCCTGCAAACGCCACCGTGCTACAACCAAAGGCGGCACACAATACGCTTCTCCCCAGGACCGCAGTCCTCGTCCGAACATGGGACGACTACAGCTACGACGACGAAGACATCATGTACCTCCGCGCACTCGTCTCCGAGTTGAGCCTCGCGTCCGGCGGCGAATACGAAGTCCACTTCTTGATCCAAGTCCACGACGACAACAAGCAGATCTGGGCCGACGAGGCGATCCACCAGGAAGTCCTCAAGAACGCGCTACCTGCTGAGTTCGCCGGCATGGGCACGCTCTGGTCGGAACGTCAGATGGGCTTGATCTACGGCGGTCTAGAGGAGTCCAACTACCGCGGGCTGCCTGTACACGGCGTCTATCGCTCCACCTTCATGCCCGTCACCTACTTTGCCCACCAGCACCCCGAGTTCGACTTCTTCTGGCACTGGGAGATGGACGTTCGGTATACTGGCCACCACTACCACCTCTTCGAACAGGTCTCCAAGTGGACGACTGCCCAGCCGCGCAAAGGACTTTGGGAGCGCGACGCCCGGTTCTACGTCCCATCCGTCCACGGCACCTGGGAAGAGTTCAAGCAGATGGTGCACTGGCAAACCCAGCACGGCACAAACAACCAAGCGAACAAATGGTCCTCGCATCTGCCCCCCAACCCCCACGTCCCCCTCGCCGAAATGCAAAAGCCCGAGAAGCCAGTCTGGGGCCCAGAACTCCCGCAAGACTACCCCGACATCGAAATCGACGACTCCGTAAAACCAAACACCACCATCACAGAAGACAAGTACGAGTGGGGCGTTGGCGAACCCGCCGACCTCATCGTCTTCAACCCCCTCTTCGACCCCGACCACACCAACTGGATCCTCGCCGACGACGTCACAGGCTTCGATAAGAAAAACGGCTTGCCACCACGACGGACTGCGATCAACACCTCTGGCCGCCTCTCCCGCCGCCTCCTCGAAACCATGCACCGCGAACAGTCGCGCCACCGGCATACCATGTTCTCCGAAATGTGGCCCGCGTCCTGCGCTCTGCACCACGGCCTCAAAGCCGTTTACGCCCCTCATCCCGTGTTCATAGACCGCAAATGGCCGACACAGTACCTCGCCGCTATCTTCAACAACGGCCGCAATGGCGCGAGCGGCGGTGCACGCATGTCTGTTTTTAGCGATGAGCGTCAACATAACTTTTTGGGTACGACTTGGTACTATCACGCTGGCTTTGCTCCTAATCTGTGGAAGAGGTGGATGGGGTATAAGGTTGATAATGATGGTGGTGAGGAATACGAGGTTGCGGGTGAAGGGAGGATGTGTTTGCCTGCTGTGTTGTTGCATCCGGTTAAGCAGGTTGATTTGGTGCAGGAGAAGGAGAGGGTTGAGGAGGGGGGGAAGGTGGAGTGAGAAAGCGGTGTGACAATTGTGCTGCGCTGTTGCGAAGTTCGGGTTGGGATAGCAAGGCGTTGGTATTCGATCTTCACCGGCGTCATGGAGTCGCGTTGGACACGCGCATGTTAATAGCGTTTGATTCTTGTTGTATATGACTAGACACGATCTTAACTGTCATTCATGTTGGATATGGATATATGAACAGATATGTAGAGGCTCTTCTTATATAGCGTTGCTTTTGTACATGTATCAAGAACAATCTTCTTGTTGCTCTTGATATGCTGAGCGCTTCCCTCCCCTCACGCTGAACAGCTACTCGGCAAGCCCAAGACCATCTCGGTGGGTGTCTCTACCCTCTCTCTCTCTCTGCTGCCCGGGGTTCCACTTCCTGTTTTTCTCCAGACTTTCTTTGCTCTCAATAACTCCTCGGCAACCCCAGCACCTTCTCCCCAATATAATTCAACACCATCTCCCTACTCACCGGCGCAATCCTCGGTACAAAGCACTCCCTCAAAAACCGCTCCACATCATACTCTGCCGCATACCCCATCCCCCCATGCGCCAGCACCGCCCTCTCACACGCCGTAAACGCCGCCTCCCCCGCAAGATACTTTGCGCTATTCGCCGCAACCCCAATCGCATCCTGCCTAATCCCCGCATCCGTTTTACTCGCATCGTACAGCCGCGCCGCATGGTACGTGACATGTTTCGCTGCTTCAAGCTGCATGTACGCGTCCGCGAGGGGGTGTGATATGCCTTGGTTCATGCCGATGGGGCGTTGGAACACGGTGCGTGAGCGCGCGTAGGCGGCGGCTTTTGTGAGGGCCGCGTAGCCTAATCCGAGGGCTTCGCCTGCGAGGAGACACCGCTCTGCGTTCATGCCCCCGAGGATTATTTTAAAGCCTTCGCCTTCGCCGCCGACGAGGCACGACGCGGGGATCTTGTAGGCGTCGAAGAAGACTTCATTTGCGTCGACGGCGCGCCCGCCCATTTTCTTGATGCGGCGCATGTCCAGTCCTGGCGCTGAGCGATCAAGCGGGATGCAAAATAGACTCAGCGCTTTACTTGGTTTCTCCGCTTCTTCCCGTGGCGTAGTTCGCGCGAGTAGGATCATGCGTGAAGCGACTTGCGCACATGTTATCCATATCTTCTGCCCCGTGATGCTATACCCCCCTCCATCCTCATCCTTCCGCGCAAACGTACTCAGTCGCAGCGTATCCAACCCCGAATCCGGTTCCGTAACCCCAAAGCACGTCCGCCACTCCCCCGATATTATCCTCGGTATAGTCTCCTGTAACTGCGCATCACTCCCAAACTTAGCCAACGGCTGCGTCGCATACACATTCGCGTGAATCGCCTGCGCGCCTGCGATGCCAGCGCCAGATTCAGCGATTGTCTGCATCATCATCGTCGCCTCGGAGATGCCCAGTCCAGACCCGCCGTATGCTTCTGGTAATGCGATGCCGAGCCACCCGTCTTTCGCCAGCGCGGCGTGGAAGTCGGACGGGTCGCTGCTGCTGTCGTCGCGGTTGCGCCAGTAGCTGTTGGGGAAGCGGGAGCAGAGTGCGAAGATGGCGTCGCGGATTTCGAGTTGTGTGGAAGTGAAGCCGGTTGTTTCCATGATGTGGCAGCGGGGGGTGCTGCTGAAGCGGCATCGTTGGGGGTGGATGCGGAGGCGTGAAGCGGTGCGTGTTGCGCGCGAGATGCGCAAGGTGCGCGATGCTGCTAGGGATAGCATCGTCGGCGTGAGTGGTGGTTACATCGGTGCTGTTGTTGCGTTTACGGCTGTCGCATGACGTTGGTTGTTGACGCGCGAAGTAGCCGACTTGCGATGTTGCCGCAGGTGTGGGGTCGAGAGTCGTAAAGCCGAGGTGAAGTGCTATAGCGGGCCTTGCGACACCCTGTCGGTCGCAGCGCGGTATAGTAGTTGTCGCGTCTAGAAGTATAGAAATAAATAGAAGAAAAATTCTTATATTATAAGCTTATATAAAAAGCTTTCTTAAATAGTAAAGCTTCTAAAAGATTATTTTAATCTATTCTAGTATTATAACTACTTAGCTATAAACTACTCTAGATCTCTCTAGATCTCTTTAGACTACGCTAGCCTATATAAGTATAGACTCTACTAGTATAAAAATCTAAAGAAACCTTTTATAAGTAATAGCTTTATCTAGATTATCTAGTAAAAGTTTATATTTATATAATTCTATATTAATTTATTTTACTTTTATAATATAAACCTCTATCTATAACTATTAGTAATACTATAAATATAGTTTTACTATAATTATATAGTATAGTAGAAAATATAGCTTTCTAGGCCTAGTCTAAGCTAGCTAATACTTTATTAGCCTTAACTTCTACTAAAGAAAAACTATAAGCTTTAATATCTACTATAGAAATACTACTAGTTAAGAAAAATATATTTATTAATAAACTAATACTATTAACTTTCTAGTAAAAACTTAAATAGAAAGAATAGCTTCTATTAGAAGCTAAATAGTATATAAAAATTACTACTTTATATATCTAATATAAAGCTCTTAAAGCTATACTTACTAGTAGTAACTTCTAAACTTTACTACTATTTATACTAATACTAGCTCTAGCTATATCTACTAAGAGTACTCTATACTAGACTAAACTTTTTAAAATTCTACTTTTAAAATCTAACTTTCTAATATATTTTAAAGATAAGAATAGAGTATAACTTAATAGCTAGGCTAAAGCTTATAAATACTTTTTTAAGAGTAACTCTACTTTAACTAATATAACTATATAAGTTAACTTTATAATTAGATAGCTTAGAAATTACTAACTTAACTATTAGAAAAGAATAGCTAAAGCTATTATAGCTAATCTAGAAGTACTAGTTCTAATCTAGACTACTTTAAACTTAGCTATACTAGAATTTTTTAGCTTCTTTTTTAAATATAAGTAAATAGCTAGAAAGAAAATTAAAAATATAAAATAGTATTACTATATCTTTACTAAGCTTCTTAACTATTTTAAAATATAATAAAAGAAGCTTAATATCTAAGCTACTTTTAATAATACTAATAAAAATTATATTTATAACTTTTATTCTACTTTTAATCTAAAGATATATAAATAACTAGATAATATTAAGTAGAAGTAGTATAGCTTTATAGTACTAAAAGCTAAAGCTAACTAGTAGTATAAAGCTTTAAGATCTATACTTTAGATTAGATAGATCTAGATAGATATAGATAATACTAGAAGAGACTAGTTACTCTTTAAGTAGATATAGTATAATACTAACTAGTATAGTTTATATAGCTAAAAGATAAAACTATATATACTACTTAAGAAAAAATTTATAACTACTTTAGTAGTTTAAATAAGTATAAAGAATATTAGTTAGATTAAATACTATAAGTACTACTATAAAAAGTACTATAAGAAAAAGTATTCTAACTCTACTAGTATCTAAAAGAAAAAAGTATACTTTTAGACTATCTAACTTTATAGTTTAAGAAACTTATTATATACTCTAAAAGTTTTATTACTACTATAAGTAGTAAGTATAAAACTAAACTAGAAATAGTAGACTAGAGTTAGAGTAAGAGGTCTAGAGAGTTAGGTCTACTATAAATAAAAAAGACTTTTTTAGTTACTCTTTTAAATAGATTTCTACTACTACTATAATTACTTATCTATATATCTAGTACTAAAAGAATTATAATTAAAATTATATTACTTCTACTTTTTTAGAATTTACTATCTATATACTATTACTTTATTATATATAATATAGTAGTATAGCTACTACGTGTCTACGCGCTTTATACGCGCTAATTCTAAAGTAGATTATTTCTAATACTTTAATAAACTAAATATTTAGCTTATAGATAAAGCTACTATTATTATTATATAGTAAAGTATATAGTACTAAAAGAATTATAATTAAAATTATATTACTTTTATATTTTTAGAAATTAGACTTTATATACTTTTATAGTATTATATATTTTATAGTAGTCTAGCTACTACGCACCTACGCGCTTTATATATACTAATTCTAAAGTAGATTATATTTAATATTCTTTATCTATATACTTTATATCTTTTTCTATTTTATATACTTTTTATCTTATATACTCTTTTACCTTTTATACTTTTTTATCTTTTATACTTTTTTATCTTTTACACTTTCTTACTTTTTATACTTTTTTATCTTTTATACTTTTTTATTTTTTATACTTTTTTATCTTTTATACTCTTTTACTTTCTATACTCTTTTACTTTCTATACTTTCTTATCTTCTACTTTTTTTTAAATACTTTTTTTTACTTTCTCTTTTACTCTATCTTATCTTATTTTATTTTCTAGATAATACTAGCGTATCTTATAAGCTATTACTTATACCTTAGTATCTTTATCTTTTCTTTTTTTTTCTTTTTATCTTACTATTTATTAAGTATATAGTAAGTTAATTATAAAACTAAAGATTATTTTAAACTCTAATACTAATATATAGCTAAATTACTAGTAGTTAGAAGTTTAATAATATTAGACTTTAATATATTAAACTAACTACCTTCTATTAGAGTTAACTCTATTATATATAAGCTAATATTATATATAAGCTAATACTATATATAAGCTAATACTATATATAAGATAATATTACGTATAAAATAATATTATGTATAATACTAAAATACTCTATAACTCTATTATAGCTTCTAGAGCTATAGCTTTTTATATTATATAGTATAAGATATATAGGTTTTACTTTAAGTTTAATATATTTTTCTTTTTTAGTCTACTTATTAAACTACGCTTTATTTATATTATAATATAAACTAGTAATACTAATATTAGCGTAAATTCTACTCTTCTATAGATACCTAGGTATTAGAAATAATACTCTATACTTATAGCTCTCTTTACTCTACGCTAAGAATAATATATTTTATAAACTTATAAAGATTAAGTAGTAGTATAAAAGTATATTATTCTTAGTAGCGCTATTATTCTACTACTAAATC